ATGAAGGACAGGGTTTTGGTCGTTGTGTGTCCAGCACATGGTGCACATGCAGTAATCGCGATGCTTGCTGCGTTTTGCCTGGCACTTTGGGTGGTGCTCTAGGTAGGAAGGTGAAGAACAGTCTGGCTCGGACAGGACACCAACGCGGTCCTCTATGGTCTTGCAAGTGGCCAGTGCTAGTGGAAAGAATTTTACAAGAAAACTCTCTCGCACAGCAGCTCGTGTCGCCACCAAAGAGCGCTTCGCTCCGGCGCGGCGGACGGGCGGCGCACGTGTGGGCGTGCAGCACAGGAGACGCGCGGCGAGAGCGTGAGCAGCAGCGACTGGCCGACTGCGGGCAGAGAGCTGGCAGAACGCGAGCGAGACGTGGGATGTTTGGGGCCGTGTCGTGTCGAGTCAAGCTACGCGCCCGCTCTCGGCGAGCCTCGACGCGGCGCGGGAAGCCGTGACGGCTGGTGCTGCACACCGCCATCGCAGCGTGTTGAAAAGGCGCTCTTGTGGTCAGCGCACGCGTGCTGTGCGGCCCTCAGCCAAGACGGCGCTTCGGGGGGAGAACACCACCCAAGGTTGAGCTCACATCGATCTACCCGACGTTTCTATCTATCCCGACTACCCGTCACATCATCTACGAGCACCTGCGGCTCAGCCGGCTTGCCCCACGGAGGCCACGGCAACGAGGCGACATACCCCGGCTCAAACCGCTTCCGCACGCGCTCGAGCAGGATCTGCTTCGTCTTGGCGTAGGTCGGAGAGCGCGACAGGTCCTTCGCCTCGTACACGCGTGGGCAGAGCGTGGCCCACCGCTCGAGCTCCTGCCACTCCTCCCCAGACGGCCCGCCAAAAATCGCGCCGGACGCCGTCGTCGTGTTTGCGGGCTGCAAACCTCGTCTGGCCGCGGGGTGGTGGAGAGCTCGTCTTCCCGACTGCATGCCCGACTGCAGGTCATACATGTAGAGCTCCTCAGCGACCGGCGGCGTGCCCCACAGTGCGGAGCCGTTGGACCAGCGCATCCATGCAACGTAACGGAACCGGAACGTGCGCACCGCGTAGCCCATGAACAATGGCCCGTTGGCGGCGTCCTTCTCTTCGCTGCACGTGCAGAGGCAATGCCACCCAGGCCCTGATGCCCATGGCTCGGCTTCAGGAGGCTCACATCTGCCGGAAACGGCGTTGCAGCGAAAGAACTGCGAGAAGGCGACTTCGAAGCCTTCCGTGGACTGCTGGAGAGGGATTTGCTTGGTGAAGACGACACTCACGTCTTTTCCTTCGAGCGGCCATTCCACCTCTGCGGGGCCCGCTGGTTGCGGCGCGCCAAAGTATGCGCGGCGCGCTTCGGTTCGTACCGAGGTGTCGATGGGCCTGCCGCATTCCAGACCGTCCAGCAGATCCTTCTCGGCGAATGAGCACGTGTTGTTGGTGGACTGCTCGGGCACCAGCCACGTCTTGGGGCTTCGCTGGCAACCGATATTCGCGGCGTTCGTGGCTGAGAAGGTGGTCTCGTAAAGTGAGCACGCGTCGAGAGCGCCGTGCTTGTTTAGCTCGAGCCACTTGCGCCGCGGCACCATCCACGGCGCGTGCGGCCTGACAAAGCCAGCCATGACCATGAAGGGCCGCCCACCAGAGCGCTGCATCCGCACCGCCTCGTCCAGCTGGTGGATCGTGCGCTCGGCGAGCATCTCGTCGAAGAGCTTGCTGTCATCATCCACGACGCAGAAGTCGATGGCGCCTCGGGAAGGCCGTTGGGAGTCTGTAATGCGACGGATCTCGCATCCATCGCGTGGGCACGCGCCGTAGTTGTGCTTCAGGTAGGACCGCGCTTGCTTCGGGCTGTATCGCAGCGCCATCTCACTGTTGGTCTGCCCACCGTGGAAGATCTTGCCTGCACCGAAGACATGCCAGCCCTGCGTGTGAAAATGCTCCGGAAGCGACGTCCACGATGCCCCACATCTGGTTTTGTTCGCATAGGTGCTGTGCGGGTCCCGTCCCGTCCCGTCGTGGAGCGCCTGTGCGCGGTCCACTGAGCCCAGCACGCGCGTCGTCTCGGGGCTTCGGCCCGAGAGAAAGCTGTTGCGCGATGGTACGCAGTGCGCCGCCTGAGCGTACGGAGTCAAATGTGAGACCGGACGCGGCGAGCTTGTTCAGGTGCGGCGTCAGCGCAAGCGGCACGTGGCTCCAGTCGTCGAGGATGAGATAGAGCACGCTGTGGGCGCCGGTAGGCGGCGTTGCAAAGGTGCCCACGCGACGTGGGCACGTCGACTGCGACGCCTTCGTCGTCGAGCCGGAGGCCTTTGGCTCATGTGCGATGTCTGCAATGGCCGCCGCCATCTATCTACCTAGTACCGGCTGTAGTTTGGACACCGAAGTCTTGCATAGTCTTCGCAACTTCTCACAACCGTATGTAACGACCCATTGCCGCGTGAACAGATGCTACTTTCAGTCTCGGCACGTCGCCGGTGGCTCAGGGCCGCGCCGCGCGAAGAAGCAGGATGCGCATGATCGTCTTGACGGTGCCGACGCCGGTCTGCAGCTGCATCATCGGCGCGGGGACGCGCAGCGCGGGGGTCGCGGAGAGGAACGAGAGCATGGCTCAGATCGATGGATAGCGTGAGTACACACACACACACACACACGATGGATAGCGCGTTTTAGATGACGAAGAGAATCCCGATGCCCAGCAACAAGAAAAAACTGCAGTCGGAAACCACAAGCCCCTCTCATCACAGCACACACTGGCACGACAGGGCGGCTCCGCGGCGGCGGCGAGGCTCCATGGGAAACGACGAGGCGAGGAAGGCCACGACGGCCATTGCAGATGCGCTGTTGCTGCATAAGGTGGCGGCCACGCTCGAGCGCTGCGGCGTGCAGCACCCTCAGGGGCACGCTGCGCTCACGCGGCTGGCGCATGCCGCCCGGGCGCATGCCCTCGACTTTGAGGAGGGCGAGGTCGAGCCGGCGCCGGAGGCCGGTTCGAAAGTGGCTAGCGTGTACATTGGGTGCGCTCACTTTCTGCTAGAGCTGCCGCTCCTCGCGACGGCAGCGTTCTTCGGCGAGCCGACGCTGCAGCACATGTCAGAGACCGCGCCTGCCTGGGCACACGCGACGACCGAGGAGCTGCAGCGCTCGATGGCCCGCATGCTGGCGCGCGCCTGTCGGACGCCAAGACACCCGCCCCGCAAGATACCTTCTAGACACTTCGCAGACACTGTTTGCAGGCGCACGGAGCGGTGGACGCTTGCTGCAGCAG